GTGACCACGTAGGAGAGTTCCCCGACAATTTGGCGGGAGTCTCGGACAGTCTAGGCCTCAGTGGTTTGTGCAGGGGACCGGGAGTGTTAGGGGAATGCCTGGGCTGCGAAAACGACTTCTTGGGATCTTCTGATTTAGTCCGGAGTGGGAACGACTGCCGACTCATAAAATAAGGCTTGTAGAAATTTTCTCCTTTGAGAGATTTGAGAAGGAGCGGCACGTCACCCGCCATCTGGAGAGTAGATGGCACCTACGAAGGCTAAGCTTGTTGAAAGCATAACGGAAACAGTCGTTGGAGCTAGTTCTCTGGTTTTAGTGCGTTTTGGTAGTTAGGCAAATTGTTTCGTCCTCTCAGCCTGTTTGTCGTGTGCAAAATGAGGGACTATAGTCAGTATTTTGGAGACTTGGGAGCCCAAATGCGGCGATGTTCCCTTGAAACACGGAGGAGGATGGAGTGAGCCATCACACTGGCTTCTTGTAGTGATCGCAGAGAGGAGAGAGGCATGGGGAGTGTTGCTGAGCTTCCCAGGTTTGGGCCGTTAATGTTTCCTGTTATGTAGTTTCTGTACTCCTGGGCTGATCTGCCTCCAGAAAGTGCCTTCCTCGGTTACCCAAGATAAAAATGTAGTTGGAGAACTTCGATCCAACTACATTTGTAGTGGATGGCATCTGTTAAAAGGAAATGGGGGGAAATTGGCTAGATTCTCCTGATGAGCTACAAAGAAAGCAAGCAAGCCTGGCGGGAGCTGCTCAGGGTTTCAGAAGTGGTTCGTGGTAGTCTTCTCTTTTTCTTTTCAAACACCAATGTCCGGATTTCTGAAGACCCCTTGCTTTGCTTCTAAGTAATTACATAAGGGAAAAGATAATTCAGTTTATTTTTTAGTGATCTCCATGCATGCGTGTAGTTTTAGGTAATTCTGTGTGGCAGAGATACCTCAGTTTGTGCCATTTTCAGTGTCATCTGCTGAGAAGGAATCCCTTCTTTATAACTATATCACTTTAGGGAGGCCTACTTCTGGTGTTGCAGGAATTCAATTTGCTTTTAGTGTTTGATGGTGATTAGGTTCAGATGTTAAATTATAACCTCACCAGGCTGGGGATGTAGCTCAGTGGTAGCATGTTTGTTTGGCTGTTAATGTTTCCTTTTATATAGTTAGTATGGGTTCCATCCCCAAATCACCACCACCACACACACACACACACACACACACACACACACACACACAGGAATGTTTCTCATGTATAGAGCTATGTAAGAGATGAAAATGAAAACTATACCAAGACACCAATTTTCATCTTTTAGATTAGCAAAGGTTGAAATGTTAACATCACTTTGGCCAATTAAGGGGGAAGATGAACTCATGTTGCTGAACTAGTAAATTGGTTGGGTCTATTTGGAAAGGCAGTTTGGTAGTATCTATCAAAATTTCTTATGTATGAACCTTTCAATCTATGACTTTTAGGAATTAATCTTAGGGATGTACTCATGCGTAAATGAAACATGAAATATTTTCTGTGTGGCAGTGATTGTAATAGTTAAGAGGTTGAAACAAGCTCAATGTTAATTAGTGGAGTATTGGCTAAATGAATTATAATATAACCATTAAATGGAATACTTGCCACTATCAGATAAAAATGAGAAAGCCCTTTATTGCTATCTCAAAGTAGTTAAATAATAAGAAATCAGTTGTACTATAGTGTGAGTATATAAAATATAATTCCCAACCTTATGTTAAACAAGAGAAGATAGAACAGTATAAATATATCTGTATATATGGAAGGATATAATATAATTTGATAAAATTGATTCCCCCAGGGAGAACTGGATGACTAGGGAATGGATTAGGGAGTTTTTTGCTGTGCTTTTTGAATTTAACCATTTGAATGTAAGCCTATTAGAATACAATGAAACATAGACCTACATAAACATTGACAAAAAAGTAAACAAAGTTGCATTGATGGAATATATCCCAGCTTCCTCCCTTTCACCACTTGGCTTTATGATCTTAGGCAGTTGATTTAATTTCTGAGCCCCAGTGTCCTTATCTATAAAATTAGTATAAAACTGCATACTTTTTAGGATTCTTGTGAGATTGCAAGTGAAGTATATAGTGGTGCCTGGTATGTAGAAGGCACTCTTAATTATCAGTGTTGTTTTTCAATAGGCCTTATTCTACCCGTTCTGCTACCTTCAATCAGAAATTCCTGTACAAAAATATCTGTTAAAATAATAATTTCCCAGCTACTTTTTTGTTTTTATGTGTCCTTAGCTTGCTTTGACTTGACTGTTGGTATTACCAAGTCCTAGAGTACTGAGTGGCTTAGTTTTGTTGCCATCATGTTCCTGTACAATTTGACCTTGCAGCGAGCCACTGGCATCAGCTTTGCCATTCATGGCAATTTCTCTGGTAAGTTCTCCAGCCAGTTACTATTTTTGTGAATTGAAATGAGTCATTACATATTTTGCTTATATTTTGTGGAGGAAATGTTTTCCATTTATAAGAAGGTAATTGTTGGTAAATGTGAACAATCCAAATGTGGCTTGTAATCCATGAGATTTCTATTAAATTGAAGTGTATTATTTGTTATTTAATTCCAAACGGATTTCTTAGCTCTGTGTATGATGATTTTTCCAGAAGTACACATTTCTTGTGCTATTTACTTGGTGCCAGTTTAATTGTATTTTGCTGTAAGACATAACAAGATGTGTAAGTCTTGATCCTTGATCCTAAATTTGATATCAGATTGGATAAAAAGAATGTCTAACTGGGCGCAGTGGCACATGCCTATAATCTCAGGGTCTTGGGAGGTGGAGGCAGGAGGGTTGCAAGTTCAAAGCCAGCCTCAGCAGTTTAGGACTCACTCATCCCGTCTCTAATAAAAACATAAAAAAAGGACTGGGGACGTGGCTCCATGTTTAAGTGCCCCTGATTCAATCCTGGTCCCCCCCCCAAAAAAAAAAAATGTCTAAAGGTGTTACCAGAGAGAATAGTTCATTCAAAAGGTGTTTTTATTCTTACTTTTTAAGGGAAGGTTGTACCTTATCTTGGTATATTAAAATTTGTGTGTAAGAGAAGGGGAAGTGCAATTTAGATAGAAATTGCTGCGTGTGTAGAAACAACATTTACTGATGTTTTGTTTTTGGTACTGGGGATTGAACCCATGGGTGCTTTACCATGGAGCCACATCCCCATCCTTTTTTTACTTTTTTGAGACAGGGTCTGGCTATAAGTTGCTAAGGGCCTTTGCTGTGTTTTTGAGGCTGGCCTAAACTTAAACAATCCTCCTGTCCTTAGCTTCCCAAGTTGCTGGGATTGTAGACATGTGCCACTGTACCCAGCTCATTTGCTGATGTTACTCACAACCTAAATTGTGTCACACATAGTAAGCTGAACTCTTGGGGGATAATTTTGGAGAGATAAATTTAAAAACAGATTGTGTGGGAAAAAAAGTCTTTTTTTTTTTTTTCTTTTTTACCAGGAAATGAACCCAGGGGCACTTAGCCACTGAGCTGCATCCCTAGCCTTTTATTTTGAGGCAGGTTCTTTTGCTGAGGCTGGTCTTGAACATCCCTGCCTCAGCCTCCCAATTGTAGGGATTATAGTTGTGTGCCACCACTCCTGGCCAATTGTGTGAAATTTTGAATATCAGATTTAAAAAAAGAAATATCAGATAGTGGAGTTACAGAAAATAAGCTACTAATGTGTATAAAAATAAAACCTTGCCATTGTAGATTTGAACTTTTCTTTTTTTATACTGGGCACTTGAACCACTGAGCTATTGAACCACTGAGCTACAATCCTAGCGCCCCCCCCCCCTTTTGAGATGGGGGGGGGGGGGGGGGGGCTTACTAAATTGCCTAAGGCCTCACAGATTGCTGAGGCTGGCTTTGAACTTAGAATCCTGCCTCAGTCTCCCGAGTGGCTGGGATCACGGATGTGTATGCTACTATACCCAGCTTACATTTGAACATTTGTAAGTTAATTCATAAGTAATGCAGGAGGTTCATGAGTGTGTAGACAATTTTTTGAGATTCAAGTTCTTAAAGTAACTTGTGGCTGGACTTGGTGGTACACACCACTGTAATCCCAGTTTGACTTGGGAGGCTGAGGCAAAAGGATCACAAGTTTGAGGCCAATCTCAGCAGCTTAGCAAGACTTTGTCTCAGAATAAGAAAATAGAAAGTATAGCTCAGTAGTAAGGCACTTTTGGGATCAATCCCCAGTACCAAACAAAAAATAAAACAAAAACAGTGGGCCCCCCAACTTGTTTAATTTATCTTCAGTGGCATTTCAATTTAGCTGTTATTATTGGGCTATCTCTGGTTGTTTATGATCTTTAATTTTTGGTGATTTAGGAACCAAACAACAGGAAATTGTTGTTTCTCGTGGGAAGATCTTGGAGCTACTTCGCCCAGACCCTAACACTGGAAAAGTACATACCCTCCTCACTGTGGAAGTATTTGGTGTTATCCGGTCACTCATGGCCTTTAGGTTGACAGGTGGCACCAAGGACTACATTGTAGTTGGCAGTGACTCAGGTCGGATTGTTATCTTGGAATACCAGCCATCTAAGAATATGTTTGAGAAAATTCACCAAGAAACTTTTGGCAAAAGTGGATGTCGCCGAATTGTTCCTGGCCAGTTTTTAGCTGTGGATCCCAAAGGGCGAGCTGTTATGATTAGTGAGTGACTTGCTTTATTTACTCAAAAGAGTGCATCTTTGATTCTTATAAATGCTCAGTTTAGGATAATGATGCTGTGATCTTGGCAGTGTGCCAGTCAGTTGTTTAACCTGGGTGAAGTTGGGCATTTTATTTGAATTCAGTTACATTTCCTTTTTTTAAAGTTGTTATTTCCTTTTAAAATGATAGGAAACATCTTAAGGTACCTATTTTACTTCTCACCTGTTGGAAATAGTTGTTTTTCAATTTATTTGTGGCAAAGACTGTAATGAAATCTTACATGTTTTTAGAAAGTGAATATGGTTGCTTTCCTCATCAGCCTGAAGTGATGATTCACAATCATGTCTCTTCTCTGATAAATTTTTGAAGGAAATTCTGTGTATCTGATCAGGCCTCTAGAGGGCAACCCTCTCTGAGCAGTCACAAAATCATGAGGTCTAATTTTAAAAAAATGGTTTTGTTATTATTTAGTTTTCCAGTATCCTTAAATATAGGGCATATTTTTGAAGAGTTATTCAGATATTAAGATTCCCTTAGGAAGGGATGCAGAATCTTGAGTTACTATACTTGTTGACTTAATGCTGGCTGTTAAAAAGTAATCATGATGTGAATTGAGCTGTTGTGTGACTCATTATGTGGAAATCTGGTATGTTTTGTCTCCTTGAACTGTAGGTGCCATTGAGAAACAGAAGTTGGTATATATCTTGAACAGAGATGCTGCAGCCCGACTTACCATTTCATCTCCCTTGGAGGCTCACAAAGCAAACACTTTAGTATATCATGTGGTTGGAGTAGATGTAGGATTTGAAAATCCAATGTTTGCTTGTCTGGAAATGGATTATGAGGTAATGAGGACTGTGTTTTTCTCTTTGTCTTCTTTGAATTTCTTCCAGTCTCCTCATTGTCTTCCTACAATTGTTTTCTTTATTCACATTGTAAATCTGTCTTGCTAGCAGATATCCATATTCCAAATACCTTACTGAAATTCTCTGGAATGTTTCAGAGCTTAACCAGTTGACTGTATACATGGTAGCCTTTTCTCTGATTTAAACAATCTCCCTATGGGCTAAAGTATTTGTTGGGGAAAACTGGATGAAAAAATATCCCTGTTTGGGATATTTTTTCCAAAGGAAGATGGTGAAAGGCAGAGCATATCCATCTTTGCCTTGAATAGAAGGTAGAACGTAGAGACCCAGAATTTGGAGATATGGGTCCTTGTTCTAGCTCTATCATTATATAGTAGTGTGAACTTTGTAACCTTGGCCCTCTGTTTTCTTATGTAAAATGAGGCGGTCTAATGTCTTTTCCCAGTCTACCGTACAAATTCTTTGGTTTTATGATTCTAATTGATTGGTTTTATGCTACTGAACTTCTCTGTAGGAAGCAGACAATGATCCAACAGGGGAAGCAGCAGCAAATACTCAGCAGACACTTACTTTCTATGAACTAGACCTTGGTTTAAATCATGTGGTCCGAAAGTACAGTGAACCTTTGGAGGAACATGGCAACTTCCTTATAACAGGTACTTTTCTTGCAGAGCTACTCTGTCCCTTTTATTTGATCCATTTGATGCCCAAACTTAGTGAGGTTTGAAAAGTAATTTATTTGTAGTAAACTTGAGTACCTTTTCTATGTTTCGTTGAGGGTAGAAATTAGTACAGTGATAAAAAGAAAAAGTATTGTGGGAGAGAAGTATCTAGCTCCTTAGTAGCTTTCATAATCTAATGGGAGTGGGGAGGAAAGGACATAGCTTGAAATATTGATTACTACTAGTTGCTGTGATAATTTGATTGTAGTCAGTTTTTCCTTTTCACCTAAACGTATTTTGAAAGGACATATAAAATGAACAAACTCAACAAGGCAAAGCTCTGTGTCTGAATTTGAAAACTAAAATGCATAGGAAGATTTTGAAAACTAAAATCAGTTACAAAACTGATCCAAAAAAAGAAAAGACTAACATCCATTAATAAAATTAGAGCTATTGTCAGGAATATTTCCTTCAAAAAATTTCAGGGAACTCTTAGTATCTTGTAGAAAGTTATATAAATTCCTACTTTTATCACTTGCTGTAACATATTACCACATCTTTCACTTATGAGAACTTTGTTGTTGTTTTTTTTTTTTGGTGCTGGGGGTTGAACCCAGAAACCCAGTACCTCCAGCATGCCAGGCAAACACTCTACCACTGAGCTATACCCCAAGCTCCATTCAACAAGTTTTTATTGAGCTTAATCAGTCAGTATGTGCCAAGTCAGATTACTGGGTCCTGGGACTGTAGTGGTGAAAATTGGATGTGGTATTTCCCTTCCTACAGGATTGAGACTAGTGGTAAATACAACATCAACAACAACAAAAAATTGCCAGATTTTGTGCCTATTGTCATGATAACGTAGAGGAGTGGGTCCCTGACCTAGGGAATGGGAGGGAATGTGTAAGAGAAAGCTTTCTGAAGAACTTGAGCTAAGACCTGAAGAGTAGGTCTGAACTGAGATCTGAGGGAGTTTCTGTTGCAGCATTTACCAAGAACACACTTTAAGAATGGAAAGCTTATTGGGATTGGGTTATTAGAGTTAAAGGGCTGGGAGAGGGATAGTGGTGAAGTGGTGTTTTCTGAAGTATTTCAAGCAGGGGAATAATATTTCAAGCTCAGGAGGACATCTAATAAAGATGGACAGTTTAGAAAAATAACTGCTTACATTTTGCCTAATAGAATAGAGGAAAACTGACAGGGAGTTCTTTCACTAACAGATATTAGCAGCATGAGAGCTACTAAGGAGGCAGAATCAGTAAGGCTGTGAAAGGGAAGAGAACTACAGGATGACACCTAGGTTTCTGGAATAGTCTGTAGTTTATTTTTTTATATTTTTTTTAAAGAGAGAGAGAGAGAATTTTTTTTAATATTTATTTTTAGTTTTTGGCGGACACAACATCTTTGTTGGTATGTGGTGCTGAGGATCGAACCTGGGCCGCACGCATGCCAGGCGAGCGCGCTACCGCTTGAGCCACATCCCCAGCCCTAGTCTGTTGTTTAGTGGTGGCAATCTCAGGTAGAGAACCCAGGAGGTGAAATAGGTTTGGGAAGGAAATTAAGTTTATTTATGAGCATGCTGTACTTTTGAAGTACTGTGGGATTTCCAAATCCAGTAGTTAATTATATTATAGATCTAAATATGAGTACTGAATTCTAGGTTTGAATATAGAAATTTAGATGCATTATTAAGGCTAAGATCAACCAAATCTTTCACATAAACACAAACTGCTCCATCCTTATCTAGTATGTTCATAACGGAGAAACACTTGGAATGTTTCTCTGCTTCAGGTATACTGTCATCATCAAGCTGTGAAGGAGAGAAACAGTTGAAAGTGAAAGTAATTCGTGGGTAAATCAAATAACTGCTAAGTTTTATTTTTTTCTTGACAGTTCCAGGAGGATCAGATGGTCCAAGTGGAGTGTTGATCTGCTCTGAGAACTATATCACCTACAAGAACTTTGGTGACCAACCGGATATACGGTGTCCAATTCCCAGGAGACGGGTAAGGCCTTTGTTTACCAAAAGAAGAAAGATTATTTGTGAAATGAATTCAGCTTTTAAGACTGCAGTGTAGTCTCTTAGTTTATATCCTATCAAGTTTTAAGTTTTTTTTTTTTGTGTGTGTGTGTTTTGTTTTTTTTTAGTTGGACATATCTTTATTTTTACGTGGTGCTGAGTATCGAACTCAGGGTCTTGCACATTCTAGGCGAGTGCTCTACTGCTGAGCCACAGTCCCATCCCTTGTAAATGTTATTTTTAATAAAGCTGGTAACAAGTTTCAATAAAAGCAAAACATTGTTTGAAGGGTAGGAAAAAAATTAAATGTTTTTTCAGAGGAATCTGTGGGTAATTGTAAATTTGAAATTCCTGAAAATTTCTAGTTTTAAAAATCCAAACATTTGTTGGAAATAGATTATCTTTTGTTCTGTTTCTGTCCCCACCCCCCAACATTTTATTTTGAAAAACTCCCAACATATAGAATATTTTAAAACAATAGAACAACCAGATGCAGGAGCGTATGCCTGTAATCCCAATGACTTCTGAGGTGTTACAAGCCAGCCTCCTAAATAACTTAATGAGGCCCTGTCTCAGAAGAAAAATAAATAAAGAGGGCTTGGGATACTACCCAATGTTAAGTGCCCACGGGTTTAATGTACCGAAAAACCAAAAAACAAAACACAAAACAAAAAAAAAAGAACAGTGAATTCCCATATGTCCTTCATTAGATTCACTAATTACTAATACCTTAACTACATTTACCTTTTCTTATGATATATCTGTACACCTTTTCTTATGATATGTACACTTTTTCCAGGCTAACCTATTTGAAAATAAGTTGCAGGTGTCATGACACTTAATTCCAAATATAGTCTTCGAGGATGTCTCTTCTGAAAACAGACATTGTCTTATGTAACCACAGTGCTAATATCACATCCAAGAAATTTTCATATTTTCATGTAATACAATTAGCTTAGGTATAGTACATATTCAGATTTCCTTTGTTCTAAAATGTCCCCTTCATAATTTGCCTTTACTCTTTTTAAACTTAGGACATTTTCTCTCACCTTTTTTTTTTTTATGATAATTACATTTTTGTGAATCTTGGCTAATTTTCTTTTTTATTATTTTTTTATTTATATATGACACTGGAATGTATTACAATTCTTATTACACAATTTTTCATTATCTCTGGTTATGCAAAGTATATTCACAGCAATTTGTGTCTTCATACCTGTTCTTTGGATAATAATGATCCTCACATTCCACCATCATTAATAACCTCATGCCCCCTCTATTCCCCTCCAGCCCCTCTGCCCTACCTAGGGTGCGTTTATTCCTTCCATGCTCCCTCTCCCTATCCCACTATGAATCAGGTTCCTTATATCAAAGAAAACATTCAGCATTTGGTTTTTTGGGATTGGCTAACTTCACTTAGCATTATCTTCTCTAATTCCATCCATTTACCTGCTAATGCCATGATTTTATTCTCTTTTATTGCTGAGTAATATTCCATTGTGTATATATACCACATTTTTTTTATATCCATTCTTCTACTGAAGGGCATCTAGGTTGGTTCCACAGTTTAGCTATTGTGAATTGTGCTGCTATAAACATTGATGTGTAGTTAAGTCCTTTGGGTATAGACCAAGGAGAGGGATAGCTGGGTCAAATGGTGGTTCCATTCCCAGTTTTCCAAGAAATCTTCATACTGCTTTCCATATTGGCTGCACCAATTTGCAGTCCCACCAGCAGTCTATGAGTGTACCTTTTCCCCCACATCCTCACCAACACTTACTATTGTTTAGCTTCATAATAGTGGCCATTTTGACTGGAGTGAGATGAAATGTTAGAGTGGTTTTGAT